GGCGCCTGCGGCGGGCTTCTTTGCATTCGTTCCAGGTGGAGAACCTGCGACCCACCCGCGACCCAAACCGCGTTCAGTGTACAAATCAAAATTTTCGGCGCCTGCGGCGGCTGTTTTTTGAATAGATTCCAGGTGGAAGTGGAGAGCCCGCGACCCACCCGCGACCCAAACTACGTTCACTGAACAAACTTAAAATTCGGCGCCTGCGGCGGGCTGTTTTTGCATTCGTTCCGGGTGGCCCACCACCGATCCCCCCCGCGCTGAACTCGTCAGAGCACGACGACGACGATGAGGACGAGGACGCGGACGAGGAAGAGGAGGAGGAGGAGCAGGAGGAGGAGGAGGGCGCAATCGACAAGGAAGGTGAGGGCCACGAGGTCCGCCGGCTCGACGCCCGCGTCGCCCGCGCCCGCCCCCTCACTCTTATCCGCAATTGCGGGGTGCTACGTATTCGTATATCCGCCACCGTGCCATGAGGCACAAGTTGGAGTGTTCTCAGGTCCTTTGGAGTTCTTCGCCTTCAGTCCTGAGTGAATGCGCATGGAAGGGCCCGCATCCCAAATTGCCGGGTTTCCCAGGGCGTGTCGCGAGCCCACGGAGGACCCAAGAGGGACCCACGACGGCCAAGAGTCGCCGAAAGATTGCTCCAAGACGCTGAAGGTGGCCTCCAGACGGCCCAAGAGGCCCCCAAGACGCCCCAAGAGGGCTCCGAGAGGCTCCCAGGAGGGCCCTGAGAGGCGAAAATCATTGATGTGCTTCTTGAAACTGTTAGGCGTTCTCGCCTTTCTGGGCTTTCGACGCTCCAAGACTGCCCAAGAGGCCCCCAAAGATCATCCCAACACGACCCGAGAGGCCCCAAAGAGGGCTCCGAGACGGCCCAAGAGAGCCCCAAAGGGGAGGCCCCAGAGGGGGAGCACGAACCGGCAGTTCGAGCTCTCCGCCCCTGAGAAGCCAGCAGGCCCCTCAGAAGCCCCCCAGGAGGCCCCCGAGAAGCCCAAGTCATGCCCCCAGAGGCCCCCGAGGGACCCCAAAAAGCCACCCCGAACCGCCTCCAAGATGCTTCCGAGAGGCCTCCCTGAGGGCCCCCACAGGCATCCAGGAGGCCTATGACCAACAACCAAGGCACGGTGGCGGAATGCGCCGACGGCCACGAAATCCGCTGCCCCCTGCTGATTCATCAGAGGGGTGCCTGGCGTGCTAGATCATACGGCTTGGTCTCGGTTTTCCCATAGAAAACTCCCCCTGGGGCTTCAGACCATGCCGCCGGCCACCCGGAAGGCCCCGCCGCTACGCAAACACCGTCTCCAAGACGGCTTCGATGGCCTCCAAGACAGTCAAGATGGCCCAAGATGGCCTCCAAGACGGCCCAAAAGAGTCCAAGATGCCTCCAAGTTCGCCCAAGAAGCCTCCAAGACGGCCCAAAGACGGCCCCAGAGGCCCCCAAGAGGCCTCCAAGGCGGTCCAAGAGGCCTCTAAGAGGTCCTCCAAGAGAGCCCGAAGAGGCCGCAATCATCAATTATCCTAAGCTTGCTAAAGGATTTTGGCATTTGCTTCTTTTCGGCCTTCCGACGGCCCAAGACTCCCTCCGGTCCCGCTTCCGACTCGCTGGCGGCCGCTAAAGTCGCAACTATATCGGGCCATCCCTTTTCCGCCCCCCGACGAGGAGGACAACGAAGCGGACGTTGAAGCCATCTTGGCTCATCCCCCCTCTTCCCTCGTTTTCCTCCTGCCGTCCTCCGTCCTTCGTTGTTCGTCTACTTCCTGTTTCTTCTTCTTCTTCTACCTCCTCCTCTTCTGCTTGGCTTCTCCTCCTGCCTTCAGCTCCCCCCCTGCGCCTTCCCTCCTTCATTATTTGACCTTTGTCCATCAACTCTGTTCCACCCCTCCTTCCTCACGTCTGTTCCCCCCCCATCCTTCTTCATCGTTCGCCCATCCCCGTCACCCTCTTTCACCTCTGGTCTTTCCCACCCTCTCTCTCCTTCCTTCTCTTCCTCTCCCCTCCTTTCATCCTCCGTCCTCCGGTGTTCTTATTATGCGTGCGTTTCTCATTATTCGTATTAGTTTACCTCCTCCGCCTCCTCCTCCTCCTCCTCCTCCTCCTCCTCCCTCCTCCTCCTCCCCCCTCCTCCTCCTCCTCCTCCTCCTCCTCCTCCTCCTCCTCCTCCTCCTCCTCCTCCTCCTCCTCCTCCTCCTCCTCCTCCTCCTCTCCTACCCCCAGCCCCCCCACGCGCCGCCCTCGTTCATACTTCGACTTGCGCCCATCCACTCTGTTCAAACCCTCCCTCCTCACGTCTGTCCCATCCCTCCCCCCTCCTTCATCATTCGTTCATCCCCGTCCCCCCCCTTTCACCCTTCGTCATTCCTACCCCCTCTCTTCTTCCTTGTCCTCCTCTTCCATCGCCCGCACCTCTGCCCCACCGCGACCCACTCCAAACTCCACCCTCATCGTTCGGCCCCACTCCCTACTCCTTCCTCCCTCATCCTTCGCCCATCCCCGTCTCACTCGTTCATCCTTCGCCTTCCCCACCCTCTCTCTTCTCCCTTCCCTGCCTCCCTCATCGCACATACATCGACCCCCACACACACACACACACACACACACACACACACACACACACACACATACACACACACACACACACACACACACACACACACAACCTCCAAGCGACCCTCGAAGAACTCGCGGTCCCCCAGCGCTGAAAAGCATCGGGCTGGCGCAAGGCCATCCGTATTTTCATCAGCACTGGAGGGGCGGCGAGTCCGTCGAGGGTGCATTTATGACGTACTGGCGCAATCTATACGATACCGTTGCGTTCGGGATTTGGAGTCAGCATTGGAGGGCGCCCTGTTAGAGACGTCGCAGGTGTCAGCTTTGGGGGTGCGCCCAGTAAAGGCATCGCAAGGGTAGGCATTCAAACAGGGGCGTAAGTGAAGCCCGACTGCCGACTGGTTCATATTCACATGAATAGCCCCAAAGCGATTGCGACTCATTTGATCGTCAAGCCCAGTTGATGCACATTCACGTTGGCAGCGGGAGCCGTTGCGACCTATTGCAACGAGCGGCTCAAATATTCACCTTGGCAACTGGGGCGGTTGCGATTGCGACCCATTTGATCGTCAAACCCAGTTGGTTCGCATTCACATTGGTAGCAAGAGTCGTTGCGATCTATTGCAACGAATGGTTCGCATTCGCACTGGTAGCAGGAAAACTTGCGATCTATCGGGCGTCGCCATCTTAAGGGCACCGCCCGTGTGAAGTTAATTTTGGCGGGGGTGGTAGTACGTTTCCCTGGGCAGCCCGACGGAACCTGGGCAGCCCGAAGGTGCCCGCTCAGGCGCTTCCCAGGACAGCCCGAAGGTGCCTGACTCGGACTCGGACCTGCAAAATGGCTCGGGCTCGGACTCGGACTTGGGCCGGAAGGCACCTGCCAGGACGCTTCCCCGAGGCGCCCGACGGTGCCCCCTGAAACGCTTTCCTTGGAACCCCGCAGGCACCCGCCTCAGCCGCGCCGCCTCGTGCGCGACACCACACGCCCGCGGTCGCCTCTCGCGGGTGCTGCGGGGGCCCTGATGCCGGGCGTGCGGAACGCCAAAAATGTCCCTGGCCCTCGTCGTATTCGCCGTCAACGGCAGCCGCCACGCGCCGCGTCGCGCGCGACGTCACACCCCCGCCATCGCCTCCCAGGTGCTGCGGTCGCCTCTCTGGGGACCCCCTTGGAGGGGGCGCGCGAGCCGATCGCGGTGTGCCTCCCTCGGGCCGCCAGAGACGGCGCTGTGCCCCGTGCTGCCGAGACGGAAGGAACCGTCAACACCGTCCGTCGTCATCGGTACACTCGTCCTCATCAACATGATCATCCTCATCAGCATCAGCAGCAGCAGCAGCATCATCATCATCATCAGCAGCAGCATCAGCATCAGCATCAGCATCATCATCATCATCATCATCATCATCATCATCATCATCATCATCATCATCATCATCATCAGCATCATCATCATCGTCATCATCATCATCATCATCATCATCATCATCATCATCATCATCATCATCATCATCATCATCATCATCATCATCGCCATCACCATAATCATCATGATCATCATCATCATCATCATCATCATCAAAATCAGCATCATCATCATCATCATCATCATCATCGTCGTCATCGTCATCGTCATCATCATCATCGTCATCATCATCATCAGCATCGTCATCATCATCATCATCATCACCATCATCATCATCGTCATCATCATCATCATTGTCATCGTCGTCGTCATCATCATCAGCATCATCATCATAATCAACATCAGCATCATCGTAATCGTCGTCATGGTCATAGCCATAATCATCGTCATCGTCGTCATCGGCATCATCATCGTTAGCAGCAGCAGCATCGTCATCATGATCATCGTCATCATCATGATCATCATCAGCATCATCATCATCATCATCATCGTATTCAATATCATCATCATAGCCATCATGAGCATCATCAGAATAAGCATCGTCATCAGCATCATCAGCATCGTAATCATCATCATCCTCATCATCAACAGCATCATCATTAGCATTACAATCAGCATCATCATCGTCGTCACCGTCATCATAATCATCGTCATCACCACCATCATCCTCATCATCATGTTCATCATCATCAGCATCAGCAGCAGAAGCATCGTCATCATCATCGTCGTCAGAATCCAGCATCCAGCATCCGTCATCAGCATCATCAGCATCAGCATCAGCATAAGCATCTTTATCACAATCGTCAGCATAATCATCATCAGCATCAGCAACAACAACATCATCATCAACACCAGCATCGGCATCATCATCGTCACCGTCGTCAGCGTCATCGCCATCGCCATCCTCATCGTCATCATCGGGATGGGTCGCCATCGTCATCGTCATCACCGTTACACTCGTCCGTCAGCATACGCTCGCGCTTACCCTTCTGCATGCCCACGCGTCCCTCCTGCAACGCCGGCGTCGCCTGCGAACCCCCTTCCACGGATGCATCCCGCAGTAGCCTCTCCAAGAGCTCCTGGCAGGCCCCCAGAAAAAAGCAAGTGAGGTGAGTAGCGGGTGGGCAAGGCAAAGAGAGAATGAGAAAAGGATGCAGAAAGGAGTACAGTCAACTCGTGTTAAGAGGACGCACGATAAGGATGAGGGCCTTGGAAGGCCATGTCAACACCTTTCGAGCGGGGCGCGGCCAGCGGAAGGGGCCAAGGATGGGCAGAAAAGGAAGGATGCCAGGGCAATCTTGGAAAGTCGTCAATCCTTACTATCCGTGCCGACTGCAAGTAGGAGGCATGAAGGAGGAAGGAGAAAAAAGAAAAGAGAAGGAGAAGGAAAAACGGAGGAAGGACGAAGGAAGACAGAGGGGGGGAAGAGCATGAGGCAGGAGCGAAGGAGGAAGGAGGCATGAGTAAGGAAGGACTGAGGAAGACGCGGGGAGGAGGGAGGAAGGCGAAAAGGGGAGGAAGCACGAGGCATAAAGGAAGAAGGAAGAGGGAAATGGAGACAGAGAATGGAGGGGGGAGGGAGGAGGAGGAAGCAGAAGAGGGGAGGACGCCACCCGAGGAGCACGCAGAAAGGGGAAAAGAAAAAGAGGACAGAGGAAGGAGGAAGGAGGAAGGAGGAGGCAGGAAACAAGAAGGGGAGAACGATGAAGCAAGAAGCACGACCGGGAAAGGAAGAAGGAGGAAGCAGGAAGTGTGCAAAACGGGCGGGGAAAGGGAAAGAGGAAAAGAGGATGGAGAAAAGAAGATGGAAGCAGGGGAAGGGAAGCCGGAAGCAGGAAACAGGAGGATGCAGGAGGGAGGATGGACGGGGTAGGACGGGGGATGGCAGGGACAGGATCGAACCAGAGGGAACAGGACGGGAGGGGAGAGGGTGGGAAGGGAAATGGAGTGAAGGGGAGATTTGGTAAAGAGTGACGATCGGGCCCGCTCCACTTAGCAACGGCAAGATTGAGAAGATGATGACTGTTTTTTTTTCTGCAGACACCAGCATTGCACAAGCAGCTGTTGGACTCCTGCCAGCAATCCCAGGATGACTCCTGTGCAACCCCACGACTGTGAGCATCTCGGCGGTACGACACCGACCCACAGATGCCTTTAGTGCTCGGTCCTTCTGGACAGGTATGCTGCGCGACCCCACGAGAGAAACACGACGCTCTCCCAACATAACCGTTGTCGGCTTCGAGCGGTCAGGCTGCAAAGGCGAGCTTCTAATTGGCGCTCCTTTGCCTCTCTCTGGCAGTGGTGTTTCCATTGCGCAGCGGCGCCACCATACTTCCTGGGTCCTCACAAGCGAATTGGATGGATGTACTTTTATTGGATGTAATTATTGGGCCCTCACAAGCGAATTGGAAAACCGTTTACGACGAGCACAACGACAAATGTTGCGGATGATCTTAGGCACCCCGCGGCGCCTGCAAGAGACAGCGAAGTCAACGTCGACAACAACCAGTTCTTCGAGTTATGCCGACATCCTCGAAATCACGACGTTGGACGACGATCACCAAGTCGAAGAGATTTGCTTGGGGCCATGGACAGAGTGGATCAAGAAGACCGCGCATGGAATACAACACCTGTTGAGGCGTTTGAAAGTTGACGACTGGATCACTACCCAATGCCGGAGGAAGTGGAGGTGGGCGACACAGGCCTCGGCTGACTGTCATAGCTGGACCTACGAAGCTTTGTTCTGTGAGCCCGACCTACGCGCAGAAGCCCAACAACCAGCTCGCACACAGGCAAGACCGAAAAGACGACGGGTCGACGATGTACGTCGGAGTGTGCAGATACGCTAGGGCCTTGCTGCTGGTGCCGATGCGTGGGCCGGCTTGGCCAAAATACCAACGTGGAGTGAGCTGGAGCATAGCTTTGCACATTCTCAGGGCGACTGCGTGGAGGAGGGCAGTGCAAGGAGGAGGAAGAGGAGGAGGAGGAAGAGGAGGAAGAGGAGGAGGAGGAGGAAGAGGAGGGGGAGAAGAGGAGAAAGAGGAGGAAGAGGAGGAGGAAGAGGAGGAAGGATACCTGCCAGCCATTTGCTTCTTCATCCCGTAGCCCACTGCGTGCTCGTGGGAGCTGCGCCCCCGCCCCGCTCGGTCCCCTCGCGCGGACACTCGCGTGGGGCACCGTTACCCTTGCCGTTCGCTGCGCCACCGCCAGTCCCGCGATCGCGCGGAGTGGGCGCAGCTGTGCGCCCAGTTCGACCCCGATCTCGCAGGGTTTGCACCGGAGGCGTGGCGTGGGCTGCTCCGACCCAGGCGCCTCAGCGAAGTCCCTGTGCCCGCACTTGAAGGGGCCCTGGGACACACAAACGAATGCACACGAATGAAACGATTCCCCACATTTGCCCATGCTTTCTGGGTCGTCGTCTTCCCCCCCTCTTCCCATATCTTCCCACATCTCCTGGGAACCGCCGATGAATTGTGCCTGTGTGTTTTTTCCCCTCCTGAGCACTGTCTTCCCAGAGAGCGCATCGAACTGACCAGCTCGCCCGCAGCTTTGGCCCGATCCTCGGTGCGCCGCGGCGGCGAGAGCACCGCGGGAGAGAGTGCGCACGGCCACGTGCTGCGCCGAACGGCCTGCGAGGAGAGGGCCGCCAGCAGCGGCACCAAGGGGATTGTACACCCTGCGAAATGCTTAAGAAATCATGGGTTAAGAAATTCATAGTCTCAGAAATTGAATAAAACCCAGAACTTCTATCAACATCTGGGGATTTACATTGAAAAGTTAAGAATAATCGAGACTCTCGACGAAAACTTAGGTTTTCTTAAGCATCGCCTAAGGTGTACGCAGTCGAGGCGTTGATCTAAGAATCCCTGAATCAGGAACGAGGCCCCCTATTTTCCATAAGTGGAACTTCGATTTCGTATCGAAAACCTGAGGACAACCTAAGGGAGCACGGAGCCCCTCCCCAACGAAAAAGGGTTCCTTCTTCAGGGCCCCGACTGTACCGGATTTGGCCCCCCCTTGCTCCACCAACATGTATCCATACCCGCCGCTGGTGGAGTTCTGCCCTGGGTCCATCGGGAGCGGTAGCTAATCATGAATGTTTTCCCGCCTGCGAGGGCGGACAGACATCCACGTCCACTTCTGCCCGAGGCTCTGGGGCGCGACTCCGAACCAGTGGACTGGGACAAGACTCCCCCGAACTGGATACGGGAACAGTAGGTACGATGCACAACAGCAGATATTGTCCAAAACCGACAGCGACCGCTGTTGGGCAGGCGGCCTTCTGTCTCAAGTGGACAACGTCCGCAGCGACGCCGACAGCGAACCCTGTTCCAAATAGACGGGCACTGCTGCCAATCTTCGTGCCCGCTCTCTCCGTGCCCACTCCGATCGTACCGAAACCAGACCCCCAAACTCTCGCATCGTTGCGCAAGTTTTGCTTCTGGCGCAAGCGCAAGCGTTGGCTTCGAAACGCGCACCCCGGACCCCTCTGGCGCAAGCGCTGCCTCGAAACGCGGGCCTCCCCCGTGGCACCTCGGCGGGGCTGAGAGCGGCACCCCGAGACAGAGAGTGGCGAGAAAACTCCAGCTCACCGAATCTGTCGAGTCCCAAAGTGCAATCTGAACCTTCTGCATTAGGAGCCCCCCATACCAGATTGTTGGCTCCAACACACCGACGCTAATCTACTCTGATCGACGCTAGTCGATACAAACCGACGCTGAGTCGACGCTAACCGACGCTAATCGACACCAATCGACGCTAAATCGGCGCTATCTCACCGACTACGAGACGCACATCGACTCTTATGCACTCTAAAAAACAAAATCACGAGGGTACACAGGGCTCCCATGGTTTGCAACAGAAGAAACCAATCAGAAGTGTGACATCCCGGAATGCAATCTCGGAGTGCTCAAAACGCGGACTCGGAGTGCAATTGAAACCAGTCACAAGGATGCCAGGCTGGTGCACGAGAAAGGCAAGAAGTCCGATTGCTTGAAAGCCCCCGACGAAAAAAGGAGTCGGCCATCAAGACGAGGCATGAAGATAAAAAGGAACCGAAAACGCGCCAAGACTGGGGCACCCTCGGACCGCTACAAAAAACTGCACTGAAGAATCGAGATCTCTCGGACCCCAAACCAGAAATCAGGCCAGGGCGTCCTGCTGGACCGCAAGGGAGCACCGAGCCCGTTGCGAACCCCGAGCGTCCCTTGCTCCAACGCGCTGAATGCACAACGGCTGGGAGCCAGGATGGCCCTGGAGACCTCGAACGGAAATCAGAAATCACGGCAAGCACACCCAGAACCGAGGGATACAAAGGCCCCTTGCAGTCGGGCCGTATCATAAGGATGCGCGATAAGGATGCAAGGGCCTTGGACGCCCATTTCGAAGCTTGTCGAGCGGGGTGCGGCCAACGAAGGTGGCCAAAGATGGGCCGAGAAGGTACGGATGCAAGGGCATCCTTGGGAAAGTTGCCAATCCTTACTATGCGGGTTGACTGTGCTTTAAAAGGTCTGGAACCCTTCCCAAGGACTGGTTTTTCATCCCGAGTCGTTTTGTTGGGGGTCCCAAGGCCCGATGATGGCCCCCAGAGGCCGAGAATGGCCAACAACCTCCCGTCGGGATCCTTTCACGACGCGAGGATGTCAGGGTACGGCAGTTTCGTGTCGTGCCGGCTTCGGCGCTGATTCCTGACACCGCGTGGATCGTTCAACCTTGGACGATCGGCCGCTTCCGAAACTTCAGATCGTTCAAAGTCGACCGATTCTGGGTCGCCGGCAGCGTCCACCGTTGAACGCCGGCGGCGGGGTCACCGCCAGCCGACACGACGCAACCCTACCGCACGAGGGCCCACCTCGCTTCAGAAGGTCACCCTTGAAAGACAGTTGCTGAATTGCCGTCGCCGACCGCCCATCCCGCGCGTCCTCCGCGAGTTTGTCGCAGGTCCTGCTGTAGTCCCGGCTGTCTATGCCGTCCTCTGCCAGAGCGGTGCGCAGCGAGCAGAAGCCCGAGCCATTGGGCCCGAGCGATATCGGAGAAAGGGAAGAGAGAGGGGATAAATTTGTTCTACACGCCCGTGACCGTCAGAACCGCAACCCCTGCACGCGGCCGACGCGCGACGGCGGGCCCGAGGGGGATCGAAAGAAGGCGAGGGACGGGGAACTGGGACCCAGACAAGGACGAGCGAGGGTCACGACCGAGAACAGAGGAACCGAAACCTCGAAGGCCACGAAAAAACAGCATTCGAAAGATGCGACCCATTCCGTTCCCAAATTCAAGGTACAACGATGACAACTAGCAAGGCAATGCGCCATCGTCGATCCGCGCCCTCCAAAGACATCCGAGAGGGATGCGAGAAGCATTCAGGCGAGAAATCGCGAAACGAATCCTCACCTTCCTCAAAACATAACTCACATCACCTCCATCCACCCAAGACTACAGACGCCCGTCACCACCGACCAGACGATCGAAGTCGAGAGGGCGGAAGCTGTTGGGTGGGAAGCGAAAGGGGGCGGTCTCAGGCTGAGCCTCACCAGCCTGCAGTCTCAGCGCGGGCGCAGCAGGCCCCAGCCAGGCTTTCGCAACCGCCTGGCGCGCCAACCATCAGGAAGCACTGGAAGGACGGTAGTGGCCAGGGAGGTGAACGTCAGGGTAGCGATGACCAGGAAGGCGCCGATCGACAGGAAGAGCAGCATCAGCAGCATGGCGTTCCAAGGACGGCTTGACCCCAGCTCTGCGCAGATCATCTGGACGGCCGTGGAAGGGGTCCAGGAAGTCCATCACCATCAGCTCCAACGGGTACGCTTGGATCAGGAGATACACCGCCAGGGCTATCGAAAACAGGCTGACGATGAACGTCATCACGAAAAGGAAGATGTTCTGCGTGACCAGCGCGACCGTCACGAAGAGCAGCATCAGCAGCAGGATGTTCCAGGGACGGCTTGCCCCCAGATTCAAGTAGACCATCTGGACCAGGAAATCAGCACCAGCAGGTACGCCAATATCCAAATGTAGATCGCCTGGGAGGTGGGGACTATCGTCATCGACGAAGGCCAGGTCCACGACACACTCAGCAAGGTCATCTATGATGTCAGCTGCTGGAAGACAACTGAGCCAATTCCCAGGCGCAACCCACCAGAGGAGTAGACCAGTGCCTCGGGGTCAAAAGCTTCGCGACCGAGACGACGGCGCTCTATCCTGGGCCCCTTCTGGAGCCGCTTAACCTCGAAGTCCGTGGCCGTCGCTATACTGGTTCTGCGGGCGTCCGCATGCAAGGCTACACCGCGCCTCCGCGTATCGGATGCCGAAGGGAGGACGCCCCCCAGCAGCGCCTGCAAATGCGGCACCACTGCCAGAAGACGGTCGGCCAACTCAGGGCTCCCCAACATGACAGCCACAGCGCTCCGCAGCTGCTTGTGAGCGTCCCTCTCCTCATTGAGCTCGGTGGATAACTTCAGAACAGCACGGTCCGCCGAGAGACGGGCCCATGCCTGGGCGGCCCGCCTGGCATCGGGACAGCGCCTGCTGGGGCGATCAACGCTATCGCCCTCCCGCGCCATTGCATGCCCAAGCGAACTTGAACCAAGTTGGCGTGAGCCAAATGACTACGGAGAGAGGGGAGAAGGAAAGGGGAGAGAGAGAGAGAGGAGAGACGAGATAGAGAGGAGAGAGAGAGAGAGGAGAGAGAGAGAGAGAGGGAGAGAGGAACATAGAGATATATTAAAGATATATGTAAACATATAGATATGTATATATATATATATATACACACACATATATACACCTAGAGAGAGAGGGACAGACAGAGAGAGAGCGAAAGACAGCGACAAAGAGAGAGAGAGAGGGAAAAAAACAAAAACGAAAACAAAAACAAAAACAAACAAACAAACAAACAAAAAAAAATGGTGATGGAGAGGGAGCGGGCGCGGTGGACAGCAGAAAGGGCAAGGGGGCATGCTAGGTACGATCCTGCCCATCCCCTCCCGTCCCACCCATCTGCAGTGCTCGACCCGGCGTCGACGGAAATGGCCAGACGAGGCCAGGAAACGCAGAGGGGTCGGGCGAATCTCAGCGGGCAAGCTGACGCCGAGACCTCGAGGGTCCCTCGACGCATAGGCCGGAGCGGGAGTGGGAGAGAGAGGGGAGGAATTCAAGTAGGGGATCAGCTACAGAATTGATTTACTCAAAACTTGATGTTCTCGTCGAACCCGTGAGGAAAATACGTAGAATGGTCCGTAGATCTACGGAGCACTGCAGGCACGCCTCGCAGACTCGACGGGACCTCGACTGCGGGGGCATATCGATTCTGCAGTCGACCCTGGGCAAGAGTGACCCGTAGTGCGCGGCTTCACGGGGGACGCGGCGTGGCCAGTCCTGGGCGCGCGGGCCGCTGCTACCGCTGCGCGCGCGGCGATCGGGGGACCCCGGCGGGCCCGCACCAAAGGTCGCTCCGGCGAGAGTAAAACAGGGCTAGGATCGGGATAAATCGCTCCAGAGCGTTCCGGAGCGCTCTCAGAGCGTTCCGGAACGCTCTGGAGCGGCCGCGGCGCCCAATACATCCTCCAAGCCCGCCGATTCTCATAGATTTCGAGGTATCCTGATCCGATTTTGTCCCGATCCTCGCGTCGTTGTAGAAAGGCCACTCCGAGCAGCTTCTGCCGGAACCGGCCGCGCGGCGCGCTAAAACAGCGCGGGGCGCCGAGAGCGGCGGACCTGCGGCGCCCCGCGGCGAGGCGGCGGGGCGGCGGGCGCCTCGCGGGCGGGGGCCGGGCACCGCGAGCGCCCGCCGGGCGCGGGGCGGCGGGCCGCGCGCGGCGCGGCGCGGCGCGGCGGGCCGCGGGCCGCGGGCTGGGCGGGCGGGCCGCGCGGCGCGGGCCGCGGGGCGGGCGGGCGAGGCCGGCACCGCGCGGGCCGGGCGGGCGGGCGGCGCGGCGGCGCGGGCGGAAGAAGTGCGCGGCGCGGGCGGCACGCGGCACCGCCGACGCCGCGTGGAGCACCCGCTCGTTCGTCCGCCGGCCGAGGTTTGTTTGTGTGTGTGTGTGCGTGTGTCGACCAGCCTCGAATTGCTCCGAGGCCCTGGCGTCTCAACTGTTTCGAGCCGGGGGTTCTCGCCCCATCTCGGGCCCCGGGGCCCTCGCAGATCGACCCAGCTCGAAAAGTGCAGCAGAAAGATGGGGTCTAGGGCTCCAGTCGTAATTTTGACGATGTTCCAACTTTTCCGCGCCGACGGATCTAAGGGTGATCCCTATCAGGCTCAGAGACTGAGGGAGCCCTTGAGACCGGCATCGTCATAAGGCGATGTTTATCATATGGAGGGGGTAACATCCGCCGCTCTGCGGTTGATCGGGAGTTTCTGTATATATAGAAGAAGGGGCGCGCGCTTCTGGGCGAGAGGGAAACGATCGAGAGAAGAAGGGGCGCGCGCTTCTGGGCGAGGCTCGCGAGGGGGCGACCCAGCGGTGAGAAGTCAGCGAAAATCGCGCGCCCCGAGAAATCTCCTCCTCCTCCTCCTCGTCCTCCTCCTCGTCCTCATCATCGTCCTACCGCATCCTCCTCCTTGTCCTCCTCCTCCTCCTCCTCCTCCTCCTCCTCCTCCTCCTCCTCCTCCTCCTACTCCTGTCCATCCTCCTCCTCCTCATCGCACTCCTGGTCCTCCACCTCCTCCTCCTCCTCCTCCTCCCGCACCCGGGTCCTCCTCTTCCGCCTCCTCCTCCTCCGCCTCCTCGTCCTCCTCCGCCTGCTCTTCCTCATACCACATCCTCGGCCCCCACGGCCCCAAAGAGTCCCAGCCCCGTCCCCAGATCCGTCTTTGCTGTGTCATGATGCCAGAACGCGGCACCGAAGGCCGAAACCGAGGAAACGCACCAGGGTTGAAAGATTCGTACCCTCGGAGATCAGGGCCCTCCGCCGCCTCCTCCTCCTCTTGCTCGTTCTCCTCCTCCTCCTCCTCCTCCCCCTCCTCCTCGTCCTCCACCACGTCCTCCGCATCCTCCTCTGTCTTCCCCTCTATCTCCTCCTCTTCATCTCCCTCCTCGTCCCCCGTCGCCTCCTCCCCGTCCTCCTCCTCCTCCTCCTCATCCGCCTCCTCCTGCTCCTCCGCCTCCTGCTCCTGCTCCTCCTCCTCCTCCTCCTCCTCCTCCTCCTCCTCCTCCTCCTCCGCCTCCTCTTCCTCCTCCTCCTCCCAATCCTCCGGAACCCCCCTGCTACTGCTGCTGCTCCTCCTCCTCCTCCTGCCCCAACGGCCCGAAAAAGTCCCGACCCCTTCCCCAGATCCGTCTTTGCTGCGCCGTGATGCCATAACGCGGCACCGAAGGCCGCATGCATTAACTTAAAGCGGGCGCGTTACGTTAGGAGGAGGGATCAAGGAGAGGAGGCCGGCGAGGGGGGGGCTGTGCCCATCCGAGGGAACGGGGCAGCCCCCCCCGCCCCAAAAAATGTTTCGGCCTCTCAAGGCCCCCCCCGCTCCACGAATCCCATTGGGGGGTCGAGATCCCCGCTCTGCAGTGGGATTCGCGGAACGGGGCGCCCCCCAGGTGCTTGTTATCTTCGCGCTGGCGCCGGCAGTGTGCACCTGAGGGAGCGCGGGTTGAAATGAGTGAGGGATCAGGAAGGATGTGGAGGGGCGTTCCGCTCTGAAGCGTCCTCACAATCTGGCAAAACCGCAACCCCTCCCCGGGGGCACCGCGCGTGCTGGACCAGGCACATGCGTCGCCCTAAGTCGGCGCGCACATCTGAGAGGCCCATGTCTGTCCACCAAGAAGACCACGGAGAACCCACCAAGAAAACCCGTCCCCCAGGAAGGCCCGACGTGGCGAACAGGAGGCCCGAATAATTCGTCCGAGGGGCTCCCGAGAAGGGCGCACGGAGCCGTCCAGGGAGGCCATCAGCCCTTCAGATATGCAAGTACAATAGTTCATGCAAGAATCCTTCCCTTGACCGCACTCCGCGGCCGGGCGC